ACTACCTCACAGCGGGGCCGGCTCTGCTGTCCCGGCCAGTATCATTGACTCTAAACTTGAAGTCCTTTGGGAGCCCTGAGCCAGGCGTCTCTGAGCCCCCCAGACCTGTGGTGTACGAGCGTTGGAGTCACCCACTCTTTCCAGAGGTGTCCATAGTCAGGGGGCAAGTCCCCGGTCACTGCACAAGCATCCAGAGTTGGAAGCACAAACTGGTTGTGATTTGAGCACAATAGCAGGGTTCTCACGGGCAGTGTGCACAGTCCTGGGCCTGGGAGGCTCCTCCCAGGTTGACCTTGTCCCCAGTTATACTAAGGATGCCCGTGTCTAGAATTGGTGGCTGCCCTTGCTGAGGCTAGGTCTTGGCTTGTAATCGTCATTTTACTTCTTGTGCCCATCCTAAGGCCTGAGCCCAGGCCACATCTGTATGTTGTGGGCCCAGGGAGTAGAGCCCTCCCTTGTCCCTACACCCCAGGGCTGGCTCCCAGCCCTACCAAGCCTAAAGAACTTGGCCCCAGACTCCCTGCCTCCTGGGTTGAGCCCCTGTCCTTGCTTTTGAAGTGGATTGGCTTCCACCCAGGAGGATGGTGTCCTCCATCCCTGCTGCCTGCGGGCCCTCTCAGCACAGTCCTGTGTCAGGACCTCGTTCTCAGTGTTAGCCAGTTAGTATTTGATTTTACTCTAGTGACTTGGCCCCTCTGAAGCAGCCAGAATCCTCCAGGGTCGCACCTGGAGCTCCATGGGAGATTGCCAAGGAGGGAGGTGGACAAGAAGGCAGAGGCTAGCCCGGACAAGCCTGGTGGTCAGGGTACCACCAGCCACTCGGGAAGGGACAGCTGTGGCTCTGGGAGTGGCCTCCAGCCCACCCACCCTTGCCCCAGCTGCAGCCTTGGAAACTCTGCCTTGAGTGGTCCAGCCCTGTTGCCCACCTGGGGCCCTGTGGCTTTGGCAGAGGGCAGTTGAAAGCACAAACCCACCATAAGGAAGACCCTGAGTGGCTGGAATTTCCTTGTGCCCCCCCAGTGTGGTGGGAACAGAGGCAGGTGGCCCTGTGAAGTCAAGGGAGATGTCTCTTTGCCCTGTCCCCACACCCCGCCCCGGCTCTTGGTGGAGCAGTTCCTGATGGAGTCTGGGCTGGGTGCAGGCACACCCCTCTGGCTGTCCGGACCCTGCCTGTGCCTGGTATGTTTGCATGGGCAGGGCCTGCCCTGCAGGAATGGTGAATTCCTTCCCACTGTGTGGCCCAAACCTGTGGCTTCTATCCCTTTGCCATCTCAGACAAGAAACTGCTTGCTGCCTTCTTTGCTGGGTATAGCCTCCTCCTGATCAATGGCCAGTGTCCCCCACAGGCCTTCCTGAGCCTGGGCCTCCTCTCCCAGCTCTCAAACCGTCACGGCCCTCTTATGTATAAGAACAAAATCTGCAGGGAAAGTTCTGTTTCTTCTCTGGCACCTTTGTTCTGTCCCTTATGTCTACCTCCCTCTGTCTCCAACACCCAAATGACCCCTCAGCCCCCACCACACCTTAGTTCAGTCCTTTAAACCTGTGTCCCTAGGGCCTTGCCAGGAAGAGGGAAGTAAAAACTGTTTGATGAAGAGCAGAGAGTCAGAGAAGACCCCTGAAGTGAATCAGGGTCCTGCCCTGACACCAGCTCTTTCCTAGCCATCACTCCGACCCGGGCTGCAGGGTTTTGTTGGGCTCTGCGGTGTGACGAGCACAAGGTGTATATATATATATGTTTTGTACCTCTGCTGAGACTGTACATAATGTATGAAAGTTATTTAAGCCTCATGCTGTACATTTCTGTTCCTAGATTATGTGTGTGTTCTAAGAAGTTGTCATAAATAAAACCCCAACGACCCTTGTCCGTGGAGGCGTGGTCCCTGAGGGCTGCTGACCTTTGGCTGGTGGGCCTTCTTTTGAGAAGTTGGTGGTGGGCTGGTCTCTGATGAGAACTTCTTGGGCTGAGAGTTTGGGGCTTCCCTAAGTAGGAGGCAGAGCTTTGAGGGCATCACATACCTCTCCAGACTCCATACATTGCCTCCCAGGGCTGGGGCAGGTGCCGTTGGTGGAAGAGCAGGCACTAGCATCTATGAAGCACCTACTGTATTCCAGGCACTGTTCAGGACCTTTTTTTTGTGGATTTTCACTACTCCACGTGAGAGGTGATATTCTCATTTTATTAAATGAGAAGTGTCCCAGAAGGAGGTGACATATCCAGGCTCATAGCTAATGAGGACAGAGTCGAGATTTGAACCAGCCCTGCCCAAGCACAGCCCCCATTTCCTTTAATGTTCTGTGTACCTTCTCTAGGGCCTGGAATTCACAGTGTGCGGTAGAGACCAGACACGTCATCACCTTGCCACTTACGGAGAGAAGACAGAAATATAAAAAGTGCATATTAGAAAACAGCTCTACAATGGTTGTTGGCTTTTATTTCTAGATGAGTACTTTTCAATCTTTGAAAAGCTATAGGCCTGCCCTTTTCTTTTTTTCTTTTTTGGTGTGGGGATTAAACCCAGGGCCTCGGGCATCCTAAGCGTATGCTTTACTACTGAGCTACATCCCAGCCACAACTACATTCCCCTTTGATAATTGTGCACCCCTCCATCAAGCGGGGGGGATTCTGGCCCATCCTCCGGGCAAAGAGCTCCCTGAGGGGAGTCTGCATCTTCATTACCAGCAAGATCTCTAAAAGCTTTGCTTTCTGATCGCTGTACCAGGGAGACAATCGGGCCTCTCTTTGCTTACTTTCTTAACTATAAAAGCAAGTTGCCTCCTCCACCTGCACGGGTCCTTGATCCTTGCTGCTTATCGAGACCCACAGCTGGACGGGATCGAGCCAGCCAGTTCCTGGAGCCTGTGAGAGGCCGCATCATCACAGGTGGGAGGGAAGGGTTCCTTCAAGACCCTCTGGTTCTCAAACAAAGCCCCTGGAGAGTGAAAGGAGACCCTGGCCATGGAAGGAGATGAGTGGGAAGAATTTTCCTAAGTCCCCAGTCCCCCAGAGGGCCACAGCTCCTGCTTTGGGAAGCACGGTGGCTTCCTGAGGGTGGTAGTTTGGGGCTGGGTGTGTAAATGAAACCTGGAGACCGGGAGACCATGAAGATGCTGGGCCTTCCGTGGTGGGTCCTCCTGACATTGGGCTCCCCTCGGGGATGGCAGCAAATTTTTCCAAACTCAGGTCACCTTTATGTTGAGGACACCAATGTCCTTGGGTGGGGGGAGACAGGGTTAAGGGATTCCTTTTAACAATTTTTTTAAATTGTGGGGTGCTCTTCCCCCCAGATTATAAAAATAACATCTGCTTACTTTAGATATTTTGGAAAACAAAAGAGTCAAGAAAAATTCCAATTTAGGATCTAAGCTACAGGGCAGTTTTCCCTGACAAGGAAATGGCACTACTCAGAATTTAATAAGAGAAATTTATTGAACTGAGTGGCATCTTTAAAGGTCATTTCCCCCCCCCCAACTCTCTCAATTTACAGATGAAGGGAAGTTAAGGCCAGAGAGGCTGCTAGGACTGGCCAAGGTCATATGGGACAGAGATGGCCCTAGAATTCATGACCTTATGCCCTTAGCTTAGTTTGACTAAGATGGGGGGAATTTGTGAGGGGGGTAAGGGCAGGGTCAGAACAGTCTTGGAAGTGAGTTTTATCTCAAAGCACCTGACCTGTCAACAGATTTTTAATAACATCTACCATTTATCATTGGTTGCAGCAAAGCAAGACTGCTCCTTGGGGTTCAAAGGAAGGGGTACAGGTGTGCTTCTGAGTCTTGTGATATTTCCCATTTACCTCCTTCTATAAAGTGTTCAGTTGACAAGGACTCTAATGAAAGGTGGGGGCAGCTGATGTGGGAGCAGTGAGTGACAAGAGACTCTGGCCAAAGTAGAGACCTTGTGGCCTTTAATGCCACCCTTGACATTGTTGGCCAAGGGACTCTAGCTGCTGTGGGAAAGTTCTATGGGGTGGAGAGGGTGAGCAAAGAGGGAACATGATGTGTTCTAGGAGACTTGGGTGCAGGTGACAGAGGCCAGGTACTGCAAGAACATAAGCAATGCAAACCAGGCCTCTGCCCCACAGTGGGTGGCTCCCACCAAGCCAGAGCATGGGGGACCTAATTTTTTTTAGGACATGTGTTATTGTCCTATAAATTTTGCCTAGGGCCCAGTGACTGAAAGTCAGGGGTAATAGGCAAATCTGGCTAGTGGGGGGAGAAGGGGCAGTAGATGGTCCCACATAAACCAGAGATGCTCCAGAGCCTCTGTCAGATGGGCCTGGGTAAGACTGATTCTAACGGGCAGCGAGAGAGAGCAGGTGCTCACCCTGGTACAGGGGAGGACACCTGGCTCTTTGGAGGAACAGAGACCAACTCCTAGAATCCAGGCCTGAGCATTGTGTCTTGGCTGTGCCAAGGCGCAGCAGCCACAGTGCTGTTTTCCTAGGGCACCTATTCCTGAGCCACATCTTCAGTCCTTTTTTATTTTATTTTATTTTTTTATTTTGAGACAGGTGCTTGCTAAGTTACTTAGGGCCTCGCTGAGTTGCTGAGGCTGAGCTTTGAACTCACGATCCTCCTGCCTCAGCCTCCTGAGCCGTTGGGGTTACAGATGTGCACCACCACACCAATTCACTTTCTTAACTAGCAAGAGTGGACTTCATTGCTTCCCATCAAGAACACTGCCCAGCACAACAGGATTCTAGATCCCTCCCAGGTCCTGACATCCAGTTCCTGGTTCAAGCTGTTTCACATGAAACTACAAGCACTGGCCTGAGATCACTCAGCTGAATGGAAACAGGACACACTGAGGCAGAGCCGGGTGAGGCCAGCCTAGTCCCAGATATTTATTGCAAAGAAGGCACTTAGGACAGACGGCCTTACCTCACACAGCCAAGAATGGACATTGACTTCCACAAAAGTACATGCTTTCTCCTTTTATTAGCAAAGTTCTTTGGGGACACATAATTTCTAGTGCAGGGCTCAGTAGCCTGACCCTGCTGTCACAGTTTTAGGAACCTAGTGAGTGACACAGGCTCAAAAGACCTCCTCCGGGGCCTCCTCCTGCAGAAGCAGGAAGTGGTGGTCTTGGCCTGCAGCACCTTCTTCTGGGCTTCCAGGACGTAGAGGGTCTGTGTGGTGAGGCAGCTGACCACGGGGTCGGGGTCCTTCTGCATGTGCCTCAGGGCTGCAACACAGATACAGCTATGAGTCTTTGACCAGAGAAAGGCCACCGGGCTGGGCAAGAGGGACGGGTCCTGCTATGGGAAAGGAATAGGGTAGTGGAATGGGACTGGCATCTTCTAAGGTAGGACAGAGAGTCCACACTGCTCAGTTATAAGCAAGATCCAAACATGCCCAGAGCTTGAAGATACTGGGCCAGCACTCATCCCCAATCCTTGTGGTCCACTCTACCTTCCCCTCCCTGTCTCTGCCCTCCACCGATAGAATAATGCTGGCCTCCCAGAGAGCTGCAGCCAGGGACTTGGCCACACTTGGGAACCACTCTGTCAGGGACACAGTGCAGAAAGGGGTGGTCACATCTCAGAAAGGTGGTGGAGGAGCATGGATGACAACACCAACAGTTCTGGAGGCTCCCAAGGAAAGGAGCTGGGCACACTTGGGGGCTGAGTCCCCCAAGGAGGAAGGTGGCCGTCTCTCTTAGAGTTCAAGGAACCATCCTGACTGATGAATGGGGCCCAAGCAAGATGGCAATGGGGGTGAGTGAGAGTGGGGTCTGCAGGGCCTTGACCAACACCCCCAAACCTAAATGCCCCAGAGCCAAGCCTCTTCTTCACTCAGCCTGGATCATCATTTTTGGAGAGCCATTCCTCGTTCCTGAGCCTTCCCCACCAACACGGCACCTCCAACAGATGGACGCAGTGGGCGGCTGGCCAACTCACCTGTATATGCATCCTCAACTTCATCCATCTCTTCCAGGTTGAGGGTTTGGATGATCTGGCCTGCAGGGGCACACAGAGGCACCTCAGTGGTGTCCTGGCCACCAGGGCTTCCCCTGCCCCTCCTCAAACACTGCCCCCTTGGTCTGCCTTTCTCTCCTGTGGCCACCAGCCTCAGGTCTGAACATTTCCCATAAAGTCAAAATTTCTGTCCCTGATTTTCTAAAGGGTTCTGACCAAACTGGTCCAGGTAGAGAGGCAAGCACCCCTCTGCTCCAACTCTGGCCTCTCAGGACTTGCCCATTCAGCTACAGGAAGGTCAGCCAACCCAACCAGGGGCTTCCTGCAGGGGAGGAGAGCAGGTGAAGGTGGTCAGTGTCATTACCAGAGTCCTGGAATAACTATGGGTCTTGTAACTACGTCCTGGGTCCCCCCTCAGTCTGCTTGATAGACCGTTCACCAAGGACATAGTGGCTCCAAGAAGACAGAAGGCCGTACCTGCAAACCACACAGCTGCCTGGCGGACGAAGACCTGTGGGCTCTTGAAGAGAGTCACACATTGGTTCAGAAACCAGATGGCTTTGCTCGCCTCCAGTTGCAGCTGTAAGGAGAGGTGTTCCATTACAGAGCGGCCATGGCCGGTTCTTCTGCCTCCTCGGACAGTCTTGAGACTAACCTGAGTTATTCCCTGAGTGCCAGAATCTATGAAGACATTCTACACCTCCACTCCCTACCCCAGCTCCCCAAACTTATTTCCTCTGTTGCCGCAGTCCGGCTAAAGCAAATTAACCCGGGGGGTGACAAGCAACTTGTGTACATTGATACAGCAGGAGTAGGAACCGTTTATTGTAGGACCGGAGGGGTATATATACATTCCACACAGCTTATTTTAATTAACATAAATTAGATACAGCAGTCAACCAATAAGAAATCTCCACACTTAATGGCTCCCTAGCGCCACCTCATAAACCACTCCCCCTGGCAAAATGCCAGGCGCCATCCTGACTTGTTTACAGACTCTAACACTCTGTGAAGCCTTTCTGGATGAACCAAGCCACAGGGGTCACTTTCCCTGACCTTGACCCAATAGGAGCCTAAAATTCATATAGATTTACCCCAATCTTTGGCTCACCCACATTTCTCCTATTCCCAACATTGGAACAGTGAACCTCATTTTGAAATATTGTCTATTTATAGCTTGACTTAAAATTTTCAATCTCATGCCACATTCTCTAGGCTGCAAAAAAGGGTGTGTAGACATCAATCATGTCTACACCCTTCTATTAGAAGGAGGGCTGCATATAATTAAGTGTTCTTATAACTTCCTCCCCTGCCTTGGGATACCCCGTTTTCTGTGTCTACTCAGACTTCCTCCCAGGAAGGTCTTAGGATGATGTGTCCTTTCCTTTACACAATGACCATTAGCCTTAATCCCTCTCCATGTCCCCTTCTAGCTTCTTCTTTCCTACCCTCTTTTTTCATTTTGCAGTAAAGTTTTTTAGTTTTTGTTTTTCCTTTGTTTTATTTTGGTACCAGGGATTGAACTCAGGGGGACTTAACCACTGAGCCACACCCCATCCCTTTTTTGTATTTCATTTAGAGACAGGGTCTCACTGAGTTGCTTAAGGGCCTCTCTGAGTTGCTGAGGCTGGCTTTGAACTCACAATCCTCCTGCCTCAGCCTCCAGAGCTGCTGGGATTACAGGCCTGCACCACCACATCCAGCTGCAGTCAAAAAGAAGGTGAAACCCATGGTTTTCCCCAACATTTTAAAAAAGTTTTTTAGTTACAGATGAAAACAATACATTTACTTTATTTATTTATTTTTATGTGGTGCTGAGGATGGAACCCAGGGCCTCACACATGAGCTACAACCCAGTCCCTTTTTCCAACTTTTTGGTAGCAGGATCTTTTCCTCAAATAAAAATCCTAACTGGAAATGTCCCCTGCATCAGAAGGGGAGCTGCTCTGGTTGGAGGATGTGAGGCTGAGCCTGCCCTCCTGCTCACCTCTGCCACGGTTGAAGTTACCCAGGAAATCTGTCATTTTGCACCACAGTCCCCTCTTCCTACATCTCCAACCCTGACTAGGCAAGGGTCACCATTAGCTCCCATGGTCCAAACCCAGCCTGCACTCTGGTCTGGATGCTCCCAAACTCACGCTGCCGTCCTACTGCGGGCCACCTATTGCTGCCTGGAACTTTCCTACGTGACAGGATCCCTTTCTTCTTATTCTCCTTTGACTTTTCACTTGACTTTCTTTCCTAATGTCCTTCAAAGGATGCTTGAACTGGTGTTTCCTGGGATCCCGGGCTGACTTACAAGCTTCCTGACCCACTGGCCACCTCCCTAGCTGAGCAGATCTGGGTCGGTGATTACAACTTCCACCAACCGTTGGGAGGTGTGTTCAGTGTTCACAAATCCCGTCTCTAGCACGTGCCCCAGGATTCAGTGATATATTCCTGACTTCCAGTGCTCTAGATCCACCCACAGACTTTACAGACTTGACAGGCACAAAATCAGTCCACCATCTTCCTCTCACACTTGACCTTGCCCTGTATTCCTGACCTTGCTCCATGGCACCAGTGTCCACTCAGGTCAGAAACCCAAGTGGCCTCCACCTTCACGCTCCACATTCAATCAGTCTCCACAACCAGCTAATCCTATCCATGGCTTCATCTCTCCCTGAGGCCCCTGATTCTGTCCCTTGGAACCTTTCCTCTGATTCCACAGCCTGGGCCGGGGGACTTATCTAAAGTGCACAGCTCTCTAACCATGCCACTGCCTTGTTGAACACTTCAGTGGCTCCTGCTGCCCGTAGCACCACATCTTGCTCCTTGTGGCACCAAACCTTCATGGCATGATGTGGCCCGGTCTCCCACTCCTGGGCTCTCCTGCCCAGACTGCTGACTGCCACCCAGGACCCAAGACCAGCCTGCAGACCTTCTCATTTAGTTCACATAATGTTTTACATTGTAAATTATTTGCTAACATAAATGTGGGAAATGTCACCTAGAGTCAGGATTTTCTGCTCTCAACATTTGGAAGGTCCGGCCACCCTGAGCCCACTTTCTCTTAGGGAAAAACCTATGCTCAGCTGGAGACTATATTGATTGATACATGAATTTGTATCAATCAAAAACCTATTTAGACTCTGTACCCAGACCTTGGCCTGGTCTTTCATATATTACAGAGTGCTTTTACACAGTTCAAGCATACACTGGGTTTTCTAGGAATGCATCTATAAGACAAATCCAAAACTAAACTTTCAGGGAAAGAGAGAGAGATGACAGTGTCAGTATGTCACTTTGGAAATCAAATCACCAACAACAAAGCTTCCTTTGATGTTTGATCTGACTCTGCATCCGGAGCAGATCTGTTCACAGTGATTCTGTGCAAAAGGGGAAAGGGGCCTTCATTATGTCTTCAAGGGTAAATGGAACCAAGCACTCACATACGTTATATTATGTCCTTTATATTACATGTGTTTATGCAAGCTGGGTTTTTAAAAATAAATTACTTTCACTTGTCCTTTGGAATTAGGGCATTCTGCTTATTTGGGAAATGTTAAGCATGGGTAGATGCTAAGATTCATGAATTTCACTTGGAGGAGTAAAGAGGGTGGTACCAAATATGCGCTCTATCCAGTTGTGCTGCATCTGACCATGCACAAAGGCTACGGGACAGGTCTTAGGCTTCAGTCTACACAGTCTGCTTCTCTGGCCAGTGTTTCCTGCATGGCTCTGCAGCCATTTGTTCTGCCCCCTACTTGAATGTTTCCAAGCCGCTTAGAATTCCCCACACAACAGGCCTTATTTCTCAGGGCAATTGGAGGATCCAGTTCTGTAAGGTAATATGTGGAAAGTCCCTGACAAAGTGAATCCTCAGCTCCACATCCCTGTGTACAGTCCTTTGGCCTGCACTTACTCCTGATCTCTTCTCTTTGCCTAAGTGTCACCCTGCCTTCCATGTCTCCCTCTAAAGATGACATCTCCTCCAGGACGGTTTCCTTCGACTCCCAGACTGAGCCGAGGACCCTCCATTATACTAGGAACTACAACCCTCTCTTACCAAAATTTTGTGAAATTATCCACATGTGTGCCTGGTTCTCCAATTTAGATGGGAAGCAAGGAGGACAGGAGGCAAAGGAAGATCTCTCAGAAGCAAAGGGCAGAGGAAACAGAGGGACTGGTACCATCTAAGTGCCCCACACAAAGCAAATGCTCGGTGACCGGCTTATTGAACTGCTGCTGTGGCCACCACAGCAAACCCCTAGCTGCAGGAGAAAGGACTGGAGTGCTGGGGATGCCACCTTCCCTTGCACAGGGGCAGAACGGTGAGTCGGCAGCTGGCTTACCAGGATCCTGAGAATGGTAAACACATCTCTCTGGGTGAAGACTGTTTTCAACTTTGTCCAGCCCAGTAAGGTGGCTGTGTGGCAGAGGGAGAGTTGGCAGATCTGGGGAGACAAGAGGCTCGGCATAAGGGGTTATGCAAGTGGGGCTGGGCAGCCATGAAGGGGCACCCAGAAGGGAGACAGAGAACAGCCTGTCCAACTCCAGTGGGATGGAAACTCAGGGAACAGATAGGGATCCAGGACTAGGAGCAAGACAGGAGTCATCTAGGCATCTGGCTGTATTGAAAACCCCTGTTACCCATGAAGGAGAACTTGCAAATCACACACACACACACACACACACACACACACACAAGTGACTTTTCCAATTGCTGTGATACTGCATAGAGACCCAGAGCAATGGGACTCTCCACCTCTTAACCTCAAGTCACCAACTTCCCATGCCTAAAACAGTCTCTGAAATCACATTTACCCAAAGTCTTGTTTTGTGGTATACTCTACCACTGAGCTAGATTCTCAGCACCTTTAATTTTTTTTTTTTTTAATTTTGAAACAGGGTCTTGATAAATTGCTGAGGCTAGCCTTGAGCTTGTGATCCTCCTGCCTCAGCCTCTCAAGTTGCTGGGATTACAGGCACATGTAACTGTGCCTGGCTTAGATTTCCCCAATGTCTTAATTCTTCAACTGGTGGCTGCTGCTCTGAATCAGGGTCAGCTCTCTCAGGAATATCACTGTTGACTCCACCGGGAGGGACCCTGAGCCACAGGATAATTTCTTTCAAGCACTTGTTCCACAGCATCCTCAGATGAGCCCAAAGAGGCCTCAGAAATGGCAAAGTCGCTGCTCTGTGAGATCAGAGTGTCCTCTTACAAGCTAAGCCCGTTTGGGGGCTTTCTAGCTGCAGTGCCCACTTCTGGTTTCCTGGGATCAGAGCTTGGCCCATCCAACTCTCTTTGTTCTGCCCACAACACTGTCTCCAACTGGAACTGGCTTCCCCAGGGAGCCTGTCCACACTAAGGGGCACAGAAAGTGGTCTCAAAGAAGATTGCAGAAGCCAAGGGCAGAGAAACAGAGAGAGAGACTGGTACTAATCAGTCCATGAGATGCTCCTCCTCAGAGTTTTCACAACCACAATATTCTACTGCAAGTTGGTGGCCAGCTGGATGGAGCTAGGAGCTGGAGAAAACTCTGGTGTCGTATCTTGTCATCTCTAGTGTCTCTCCCCCGCCCCTCACCTACCTCCCCTCCCTCTCTCTCTTTCAGTACTGAGGATTGAACCCAGGGACACTGTACCACAGAGCTACATCCCCAGCCCTTTTTATTTTTTTTATTCTGAGACAGGGTATCACTAAGCCACTGAGGCTGGCCTTAACCCTTGCAGTTCTCCTGCCTCAGTCTCCCAAGTCGCTGAGGTCATCTCCGGTTTCTTCTGGAAACTCTCTGAGGTCAGAGACTAGTGGATTCCATAGCCACTGCTCACATGCTCCATATTTACCCGCCATGGAATTGGGGACCAAACACAGGCTCCGAGGGCTGGCCTCTCACCTGAGCCACATCAGTATTCACATCCTTCAGGTGCAGCACAAGGAGAACTATGGAGTTGAGCATCTGCTGCTTCAAGGGGAAGACAAGGTCTCTCTTCTTGACCTTGGACAGGAGATTCCCGTAGACCTGGAAGGCCATCAGGCGCAGATCCTCGGGCTCCTGGGTCAGAAAAAAACACATGCAAGGAACACACCTCTGCATCTGTCCACTGGTCACCCAGGGTCCGGAGTCCCTGGGCTGCTCCTCCCCCGAGATCTGCTTTGATGCTCCAGTAACACGACAGTCACAAGAGCGCAGAGGCAGTCCCCTCCCCCACAGAAGAGCACTAGGTCAAGCTGGAGGGAATTCTGCCCGATTCCTCCTCTCACAGAGGCCTAGAGGAAGAGAGAGCCCTCAGGGGACTTCACCTCCTCCAGGAAAGAGCTCAGGGTGAAGGCCAGCTGAATCAGGAAGAAAGAGGAGTGCTGCCAGGTGAGGTCCTCCAGGAGGCGATTCAGCGTCAGGAAAGTCTCCTCCACGATGCAGTGGCAGGGGGAGTAGCAGCATCTCAGCACGTGCGGCTGCAGGATGGAGAGCCGCCTCACCTGCGGAGGGGTGACCGGGGTGGGTGACCGCGACCGCCGCTCAGGAAATGCTGGGCGGGGCTCTTTCCTGCTCTCCTTTCAGTCCAAGCCCCACAAGCCAGAGCCCCGGGCACACTGCCAATTTTCACCCTGGAACTAGGGCTGGTTCAGCAAGTGGGTTTGGTCAGCATGAGCCGCCCAGGAGGGCAGATGATTTCTACCCTCCGTGGGAAAAGGGGAGAAGACAGAGGAGCCGCCTTCCCACGACACCAGAAGTTCCCCTCCTCACTGCCTGTCTCATCTGTGACAATGAGGCTGCGATTCAGGAGACCTAGATGGCATATGTGGGATCCTGGGATTGGCTGAGATTATCCTCAGTGACCCATGGGACAGCCTCCTCAGGGGCCTCTCCTGGGGAGGGAGGGAGCAGGAATGGCCCAAGCCCTGATCCTGTGCTTGGTGGACTGGCCTCAGGAAGATCTGGTCTCTGGTTCCAAGGGTATGTCCCACCCTGTCTATTGAACTCCAGGTTCTATTCCTCTCCCAGATGACAACATTTCCTGAGAACCTGCCCTTGGCCTCTGCTTCATCTTACCAAGTTCTTGTGCTTTGCGAAGACCTCTGTCACCTGCAGCAACAGCTTCACTGTGGTTAGCTCCTCACACTTGAACCAGTTTGCAAGAATGTGGGTGGCAATGTCATCCACAATGGCTGCCACATCTGGGCACTGCAGCAGCTGGCAAAGGAGGCCAAGAAAGATAGTGAGGTGCACAAGGAGGAGACAATTCCCAGTGACACTGAATCTAGGTTCCTGCTCACGAGTAAAGACGGTTTTAAGGCTTTGGAAGAATCGGTGGAGAGACCAGAGTTAGAGGGTCTTCCCACCCTTTCATTCCAGGATGAGAAAAGTAAGAAACCTCAGTCAGTTCTCAAATATCCTCATGTTTCCATTGGGAAGCAAAGACTCACTCAACCACCTGTGAACATCTCCAGACAATAGCAATGTGGCACAAACCAAAAGCAAGCAAAAAAAAAAAATTATTTTAAGTGGGTGCTAAAGGAAAATTTATAAAGAAGTGGAACTTGAATAAAGAGAACTTGAATGCACATCTAAGTCTTACAGACTGGAAGGTGAACAGTTCAATAGGACAAGAAGCAAAGGAAATGGGGAGGAATTCACAGAAGTGTGTGTGTGTGTGCGCGCGCGCGTGTGTGTGTGTGTGTGTTCAGTTGGGAAAACTGGGTGTGGCAAAGCAGGAGTGTGGCAGGGTTGAGGGAAGGGCAATAAGAACACTGAGCCAACTTGGGAGGAGCATCCCATTGGTGAGAAGCATTGCTTATGGCCAACAGGAGGTCCCAGGAAAGAGATTGGCATGCATCTTTCCAAGTTGCTGCAGGCATAGGTGAGGTGGGTCTAGACTTCCAGCCAGTGGGGATGGGGAAGAGATGTCCCAGGAGTGCTGCAAAGCACACCTTAGTCAGAAAATGAAAAGAGAGAAGTCGATGACAGGTCCCCAGAATAATACTTTTTGGAAGAGAGAAGGTAGAGGGAAGTTATTATAAGGTCTTTGCCACTATTATTCCATTGCACTGGGTACCTTGGGATCAAGCTGGGCAATATCAAGCAAGCAACGCTTGAAGGCAGGCCCAGTCACTGACCTAAACAATTAATTCTATTTTGACCCTTTCTGACTCCATTTGAATTCCAAGAACCACACAGGTCTGATTGATTGATAAGCATCTTTATGACAAGAGACCAAAACTGCCCCAAGCAACAGTCGGCCTCTCAGAACAGATCACCCCATAAAAGGGTCCCCGTAAGCCAGCCGGAGCTATAACCCCATAAGGGAACCCAGGCTGCCCTTAAGCAGGAACAGTCATCCCACTGGGAACTGAGTCTCCCCCTCAAGATGGGATCACCTCCCCAGAGCTTCACAGAACCAGTCCTGAGACCATGGTCTGACCCAGATGACTGACTCTACCAGCTGCTCAAAACCCAGACATCTAAGCCCCCAACCCTTGTCTTTGTTCCCCTTTTCTGTAAAACCTCAACGTTTCTGTCATCCCTTGAAGTCGGATTTTTGGTCACTCCTATGTCTCCTCTTCCTGGAGTGGCCATCTTGATCAAAAGCTTCTCTCCTTTCCTTTACCACTGTGTGAGTCTTTGATTGGCATATGGGAACAGGTGGCTGAGCCTGGTCTGTTGGGACCTACCAGGGCAAGGGGCTTCATCCAGGGACTCCAGTAACAAGGTTTTTTGTTGTTGTTGTTGTAGATGGATACAACATCTCTATATGATTGATTGATTGATTGATTGATTGATTTATGTGGTGCTGAGGATCAAACCCAGTGCCTCACACATGGTAGGCAGGTGCTCTGCCCCTGAGCCCCAACCCCAGTCCCTGGGGCATTTTCTCATCTTTCCACTTTGGGCCAGTTTGCTCTGCTTTCTACCACTACCTGTGAAGCAGAGAAGAGAGCCTTAGAATTTTCATGCCTTGGAATGATTAAAAGCCCTTGAGAAGTCCTCTACCAACAGGGCACCTACCAATAGGACCTTGCTCTTTGCTTTGGTCTTCATCATTTGAGCATTTTTGGGCTATTTGGGCATAGGCCGTTTTTGTTTTTGTTTTGTTTTGTTTTGTTTGGGGGGGGTACTGAGGATTGAACTCAGGGTACTCAACCACTGAGTCACATCCCCACTTCTGTTTTGTATTTTATTTAGAGTCAGGGTCTCACTGAGTTGCTTAGTGCCTTGCCATTGCTGAGGTTGGCTTTGAATTCGCAAACCTCCTGCCTTAGCCTCCTGAGCCACTGGGATTACAGGGGTGTGCCACTGTGCCCGGCTATTTGTTTTTGACAAGGAAATTTGAAATCCTATGGTACGGACTAGAAAAAATAGACACAAAATAGGTGAGGAATCAGGGCTTGGGAGATCTCTGTTATAATTTGCCTAACAATGGAAAATGCTAAATCTATACCATTAGGAAGCCCCCTAGGGAGAATTCTAGATGTCTAATGATGATCTGAGATCCATGATCTAATTATAGCTATAAACCTATGACTAAGAAAAAGATGATTTATTAATAAAATATAGTATGGCCTATGTGTACACCAGATGCAAAAGACGCAGTCCCCAAACAAATCACTGAATTATCATACTACTTTATAGTTGGAGCTGTTTTGCCAAATATTAAAGGGGAAGAGGGAATGTTGCTGACCCCTGGAAACCCTGCAGCTCCCCTGCTGCTTGCAGACCCCACAGTTTTGATATGCCTTTCTGTGTGTATCAGAATGTTCAGTTCCACTGCTAGGGACAGACGGACTCTGTAAACTCAATGATCAGGTAAACTCCTTGGAGAAGCCGTAAAAGTGCCACCAGAACAGGCACTTCATCTTCAGCTGATATAAACCCAGGAGAAGCCAGCAGGGGTGAGTCAATGCCAAAGTTCTTCAATCTATCAATAAGGCTGTGTAGGCCAATGGGCCAAGCCAAGAATGCTCTCCCAGTTAAAGTTCTTTTAAAAGAGGGTGCAGCGAAGCCCCCACCTAAAGCAATATCTGCCGCAGGAGACACCCAAGGAAATCCAACCTATACTTCAAAGAAATTTTAAGTGACCAACTGATGTCTGCCTCCACTTTGGGACTGCCTAACTTTAAAAAGCCATTTAAATTGTATATAAGCGAGAAATTGGACTGGAAGTTCTTGTTTAGTTGCTGGATGAAGCTCCCCAACCTGTACCTTGCTTCTTATAGCAGGTGATCGCACGGCCAAGGGATGGCCACCTTGTTGCTAGGCAACAGCAACCACGTATGATGTGCTAAAAGATGCTGAAAACTTAATACTTGGACAACGTACTGCCATATACTTGCCACATCAGATTTTAACCTTGCTGGAACAAAAGGCAGATACTGCCTAACTGCTGGGAGTTTGGGTACATAACAGGCAAACTAATTAGATGAGCCTAATGTGTCTCGTCAAACAACATTAACTTTAAGCAGAGAGACCCTGCTGTCTGTCAGCAGGTCCCGAGGCTCCTACCCCACACCATAGATCTGAGGAAGTTCTTGATTCTATCTTTTCCAGAAAACCAGACCTGACATCAGTCATTTGACCACACAGACTGGGAATTCCTCACAGGTAGAAGTGGCTTCATGAACCATGGAAAACACCAAGATGGGTACGCAATAGCAATTTTACAAGATGTTATTGAGTCAGATCCCCTCCTAACAGTTATCCCCTCAAAAGGCCAAACTAGTAGCCCTTACTGGGGCCCTCGATCTTTCAAAGGGAAAGGGTTAACATTTATGCTATGCTGACTCAAAATATGCCTTTTGATTGTCCACACTCAAGGAGGGAGAGAGAAAGAAAGAGTTGGAGAGGGGGCCGGGGAGGGACTTACAGCCTCTAATAGCAAGGACATAAAACATCCTTGGACATCAACTCCTGCAGACTGTCTTTATGCCAAAAGATGCCAACTTTGGGCCAAACACAAGGGGCCCAACAGTGTGGGCCAAATCCSTTTGAAGACTGGCAGGTAGACTCCCCTCAGATGCCTAAAGTTGCTGGAAACTTTAAATGTCTCCTGGTTTCTGTTGACACCTCTTCTAACTGGGTCAAGGCCAACCTCAGTAGGATGGAAAAAGCCTTGGAAGTGGTACAGGCTCTACTAAAGGGCATCATTCCCAGGTATAGCCTGTCTGACTCCATACAATGTGACAGTGGCCCTGCGTTTGTCTCTTGAGGCAGTGCAGCAGGCCAGTGGAGCTCTAGGATTCTGCTGGAGATGACACGCACGCAGCCTGGAGACCTCGACAGGTAGGAAAGATGGAGAAGATAAGCCACGCTCTCAGAGGACTTTAGCCAAAATTTGTCAAGAAACTGTTCTAACATAGGAAAAGTTACTGCCCATTGCTTTCCTTCGCATTAGGGGGGCTGCAATGAAGCCCCTCTGCCATTAACTGTGCGAGACCCTTCGGAGATTTCCATAAAGGGCCGCGGTCCCCACACTTAAAATATGAAAATAAAATCAGGCATACGTAGAGCAGCTTAATCAAGTTCTAACTTCTGTGACTTTGCTTCCTCTAGGGCAAAATCCTCCTCCCCTGAGGACCCGCTGCACCTTTTTCAACTGGGAGACGGACATGGAAATATCAGGGCCCAGAAGACCAGCAGATTTAAAAAAGAAAAAAAAAAAGTGGACAGGCCCTTCCGATGTTCTCTGAATCACTCACGCTTCTTTAAAACGTGGCGGGGTCAAGCCGAGAACCCACCACACCAGAGTAAAAGGGCACCACCGGGAAACAGCCCTCCTGACCCTCGGCAGGATCAAGAGGACGATGGTCCCCCCAGGACGGCAAACATCTCTTCAGAGAGCACAGCTCGCCAGACGCCTTAGATAATCGTGAATCACACTGCCGTCACTCTTGGCTTTCTTTGTCTTTTCCTTACTCCCCATGGATCTGGTCTAACTTGTTTGCTGACTGGGCTGGGCCTCAGCAATAGATCCTTTCAGTAGTAGGCTAAAATCAATTCCTTCTCAATGGAGGCACTTAATGTTTGACAGTGTTATTTTCCTTCCTCTTCCTCCAAGTGACCTCTGCTCACTTCCTTTGTAAGGCTGGTGCTCCTACTGTTTGGACCAGCATGGGAATGAAGTACCTCTGGTATAAAAGGGACAGAGTTTTCTTATCCCATCAAGGTCTTCCATTCCAAGACTCCCACATGGCCCCTATCAGCAGGAAATAATTATCGAAGACAATGGCCTTCTGCCCTCCCCCCAGCAGACATGGAATGTGACTTGACAGGGGGATCTGAAGGCGGGTCCAGTCATGGACCAATTTCATTTTGTCCCTTTCTGACTCCACTTGCCTTTTGACCTGTTTTCCTTCTGAACCACCTTCTTTTGCAGTTACCTTGGATTCCAGGAACCACACGGGTCTGATTGATTGATAAGCATCTTTATGACAAGTGACCGAAACTGCCCCAAGCAACAGTTGGCCTCTCAGAACAGACCACCCCATAAGATGGTCCCTGTAAGCAGGAGCTATTAACCCCGTGACGGAACCCAGGCTGCCCCTAAGCGGAACAATCATCTCACTGGGAACTGAGTCTCCCCCTCAAGATGGGATCACCTCCCCAGAGCTTCACAGAACCAGTCCTGAGACCATGGTCTGACCCAGATGACTTACTCTGCTGGCTGTTCAAATCCCCCAGCCTTACAAGTCCCCAACCCTTTCTTTGTTCCCTTTTTCTATAAAAACCTCAAAGTTTCTGTCATCCCTTGAAGACAGATCTTTGGTCACCAAACCCCTACATCTTTTCTTCCTGGGGTGGCCACACTGATTAAAAGATCCTCTCCTTCCCTCCACCACAGTGTGAGTCTTTGATTGGCATATGAGAACAGGTGACAGCCTGGTCTATTGGGATAGGGGCCTTCAACCAACAACTCTGGAAACATAGTGACTCCAAGGCCCCATCCCTGGCTGCACATTAGGATCACTGGGAGAACCTGCTGCTCTTTGGACCCCATGTCACCCACCAAGAGTCTGATTTGGAGTCCAAGCGTCAGTGTTATTTATTTATACATTCTCCCAAATATCCAGCTATGCAGCCAGGGTTCCTCAACCCTAACAGTTATATACAAATGAAATATACAAATGTCTGGGCCAGACATTCATGGTTTTGGAATGCATATGCCAGCGTGGACACCGTGATACGCACGAGTCAGTRTGATGTGGCAACTAGGAAGGGCTCTGTCAGCACTGCAACCTCCACACAGCAGCCTGCGAGCTCATGTGGTGGAAAGACATTGGAATGCAAATGGGACATCAGGAGTTAAAGTAGCCCCCCCCTCACTCCCCAGTGTGTGTGTATTTGTGTGTGTGTGTGTGTGTATGTGTGTGTGTTGCTGGGGATCAAACCCAGAAAGTTTATGTGATCAAGAAAAAGTCAAACAATTATCAATAGGATGATTGATGGGCAAAAGAGATGGGAAGGAATTCAGAGAAGGGCAAGTTCAAGTCACAAAATTCCACGCAGAACTGAAAACCAGAGCAAACAGACATTGTTTCACATCCATCGGGAGAGATGTGAATTTGGATGTAAGAAGAGCTAAGGCGGGAGGCTGAGGCAGGAGGATCACCAGCTCAAGGCCAGCCTGGGCTATATAACAAGACCCCATCTCAAAAAAGAGCTAACCCTGGGTGGAAGTGATCAGGGGGCTCTCTCACACTTTACTGGCATGAGCGCACATCATTACTTCGAAAAACCATCTGGCAACACTGTGTGTGTATGTGTGTGTGTGTGTGTGTGTGTGTGTGTGTGTGTGTGTGTGTTTGAACAGGGAGAGATGCCTATTTGTTGCCTGTGAGATACCTGGGGATGAAGAGGAGGGGGTATAGGCCTCATTAGGTAGGAAGGGAGAAGGCAAAAATAGGGAAAAAAAAAGGTGTTGTGTTTTTTTTTTTTATAAAGAAACCAGTGTGTATGGTTTCATTTGTATATTTGTGTTAAATTGTACATGTATAGTCGGGCATGGTCGCACATGCCTATAATCCCAGCAGCTCAGGAGGCTGAGACAGGAGGATCATGAGTTCAAAGCCAGCCTGAGCAACAGTGAGGAGCTAAGCAACTCAGTGAGACCCTGTCTCTAAATAAAACACAAAATAGGGCTGGGGATGTGACTCAGTGGTCTAGTGCCCCAGAGTTCAATCSCTGGTACAAAAAAATATATATATACATGCATATAGATTATTTAAAACAACATTAAGAAGACCAAAGTTCATCAGCTACATTGAAGATGTCTGCACTTGCTTTTGCAGGCACGCCTGGGGGCATGCTTATGTGGGTGTCTGTGCTTCTATATTAATGGCAAAGAAGCTTTCAGGGACAAATTGCAGAGGTTTTCACCTGTCAGGCAGGCAGATCTGCCCTAATTTACTTACTAATTAGTGAGTTTTCTTAAATTCTCTGGGTCTCAGTTTTCATCCTCTACAAAATAGAGTTAATAACATCTTTTCCACAGTTACAATGAGAATGAAAACAGCTGGGCTCCCGTTTCTTGATTGTCCAGAATTCCAGCACAGGGCCTTTTGAAATGTTTCTGCTTGTGCTTAGCCCAGGGAAATGGATGAAGATACCAAGACAACCAGCTGGGAGCTTCAAAGGGTTAGGAAATGTTTGAGAGCTTCTAGATCTTGACCCACTTTCTTAGCCAGTACCTAAAACCCCACGGTTCTCCACTTTGAAACATGAATGGGGTCCACCCATCTTCCTGCCTAGAGCCCCTTTGAGCCTTTTCCCAAACAAACTGTCCCCTCCGTTCCCCTCCTCAGCCTGAAGCTCCAAAACAGGTGACAGAGGAGCGAACACCTGTTCCTGTGTCCACTTGTTTATGTGGGTATTGTGCATTTGGGGGAACTTGTAGGGTGGTTCTCAGTCCTAGCTGCATTTCTAGAACACAGGACTTGGGAGGTTCTAAGCAAACTGATGCCTGGACCCCATCCTAGACCAACTCAAACAGAAGAACAAGGCAGAGAGTGGGGAAAGAAGGGAGGATCATTGGCAATAGCATTTTAAAAAAGCTCCCGACAGGACCCTAATATGCCACCAGGGTTCAGAATTACTGTTCTAACAGAGTGGCAGTCACCTTGTGATACCTACTGCTCTCTCAGGCTTGTACCTGGTGCCATTTCTCAAAGCTGGGTTCAAGGACTCCCTGTACTACAACAGGAACTGAGGTACTTTCARGAAAGGAAGACTTCTGGGTCTCACCCCAGACCTATTGAATCCAAGTCTCTGGGAACAGGGCCCAGGAATCTGCATTTTGAACTGCTTCCTCAATGAGATGAGGCGACGTGATACACACTAACGYCTGAGACCCAGGGCACTAGGCATCCTCTTCCAGCCAGACCCCCGCCTCCTACATGCCCTCATTCCTGCATCCTGAGCAAGCGTTCGGCCAACATGACGTACATCCTTCAACGCACAYCTCAGCACCCACACCAGCATGCACATCTTAGCACACAGCAGTAGCACCTTCCCKCGAGATTCAAATTCCCTGTAACCCTCATAAGAGTACATGAGGTCACATTAGGATAATATCTGTTTATGTTCTGGCATTAGTATTGTGTTATCTCCTATCATTGTTCAAAATAATCCAGTTCCTGGTTTTTTTTGTTGTTGTTGTTTTTAAATTAGTTTGCTTAGATTTTAAAAGAAGCCTATTTAAAGCTGTGATGAGGCAGAAACTGTCCCAAACTTTTGCTCAAACACTGCTGGTGGAAGTATAAATTGGTACAACTTTACTGGAAGGCAATTTGGTGTCAGTATCAAAAGTCAGAGAAGACATTTATGCTTTTTGAACCTATACTTCCACTTATTATAGTCAATACTTAAGGTAATAATCTGACACATGGGCAAAGGCTTTTGCACAGAGATGCTCATTAYGGTGTTATTCATAATAACATAAAATTAGAAACAGAATGTCCAACCAATTATAGAACATCTTTATGATAAAATATTCTATCACCACTGAAAGTTATGTTTACAAAGAACACAGAATGACATAGAGAGAGGCCTGAAGAGAGAGGGGACACAGACTATTAAGAGACAATAATCTCAACCCTCTCACACACACTTTCATACAGACAAAAAACTAAAAGTGATTTCCTTTGTGCATTGTGATGATTAATGATTTTGCAATATTGTATTTACTTTTTCCACCTTTTATTTAGATTTCCTGTGAGGTAACTTGAGTTAACATTGAGTTAATTGGGGTACTGAGCCAAGATCAATTTTCAAAGGCTCATGTGGCTGAAGGAAAGAGCTGTGTTGTTCCATAAAGTCAGGGCAGAGTCTTTAAGATTCAAGAAGAAATCAAATCCTATAACTCAAGAAAATCTAACAAAGTTTTTTTGTTTTGTTTTGTTTTGTTTTGTTTTGTTTTGTTTTGATCAGGGGGTGGTTTGAACTCAGGGGCACTTGACCACTGAGCCACATCCCTGGCCCTATTTTGTATTTTATTTAGAGACAGGTTCTCACTGAGCTGCAAAGCAGCGCTTCACCATTGCTGAGGCTGGCTTTAAACTCACAATTCTCCTGCCTCAGTCTCCGGAGCCACTGGAATTACAGGCCTTCACCACTACACCTGGCCCTATTTTTATTTTATTTAGAGATAGTGTCTCACTGAGTTGCTTAGCACCTCACTGTTGCTGAGGCTGGCTTTGAACTTGCGATCCTCCTGCCTCAGCCTCTGGAGCTGCTGRGATTACAGGCGTGTGCCACCGTGTCCAGCCTAATGATTTATTATTAGTAACATCCCCCAATCCTTCTGGGAGGTAGGGAAAGTCAAACAGGCTGCCCCCTCTGGCCAGTGGCCTTCCCAGGAGGAATCCATTGCCTTTCAGAGGGACCACCTCCCCCGCCCTCTTCTCCTCCCGGGCCCCAGTCACCTCTGTCAGGAACACAAGGGCTGTTACGTGGTTGGGGCAGTTTGTGTCCTGGAGGATCCTGATGATGAAGCTGAAGATGGGGCGGTTGTGCCAACAGTTCTTGATCACCAGGGCCCTGCCGACCAGAGCACRGGGATCAGCGGGAGGCCTGGGCTGCAGGGAGGATCAGGAACGTGGAAGGTTGTCCTCTGGTCAGAGCCCCAGGCGTGGCTTACCTGGCYAGCAGGGCGACTCCATCATAGTGTTTCTCGGGATTCACCAGCAGATTCCAACCCCCAAATATGTTCACAWACTCCATGTGTTCCTCATACCCAGAACTGCACATCAAGGTCTTCAGGGCCTCCACTGTAGAACTGGGGAGAGAGCAGAGCAGGAGCAGGCCGGAAGTCACCCCCACTGTGCTCCTTTCTCCCCAGCCACCTGCCTGACTCCCCGCCTCCCAGGGATGGTGGACTGCTGGCAGCGGGACAATCCACGTTACCCTGTGGAACCTTTCACAAAYGAGGAACCCGTGGCCAAGAAGGTAGTGGCCTCTCCAACATGACACGGGAAGCCTGCCCAGGGGTAGGGAGGGCATCCTGGTCTGTAGACCCGGGTGTCTTGTTTTGATTTCACTTTGGTACAGAATCTCTGCATGAGCCTAGTAAGCCAGACTTAAAGAGTCTTTTTGAAAAAGTCCAGCAAGACRTCTCGGGATGCTGTGTGAGCAGCATCCCAAGGGCCCCGCAGGAGGGGAGAGAACAGTGTCGTGTCTGCAGGCCAGAAGCTGGGCGGGGGGTGCTACGCCACTCACACAGGAGCCCCCAGGCCAACGAACCTCACAGGGTCCACACATTCRATTACAGGCTGCTGACCCTGGATCATTTCAGCACTTCCTTCAAGCACCAGAAGGGAGAYCTGGAAGAGCAGCCTCACGAACAGGGAGGAGAAGAAGCCATGCAGCTCCATCCGCCGACTGGGTTCCTGCAAGAGCTCGTAGATGGCCCTGGTGGCCTGGGGTGAGGAGGAGAATGGGAGCATCACCACCTTTGCCTTGCCCAGTGAAGGCCTGGCTGCCCACAGCAGGTCAGGACTAAGTTAGCGGGAGCCAGGAGAGCACAGGGTGTTTCCAAGTGGCATTGTTTTAAAGCACTCTTACAGCCATGGTGGCTGTTTTGTCTCCCCTCATCCTTGAGAGTTAAGGCAGGGCTGGGTGTTTGTCTTCGGTCCATTCACCCCTGGGAACAGGAATCTAGTTCTTCTATCTCCCCAACAAGGCAGCCAGCGGGAAACCCCTCCCCCAACCCAACCCGAAGACCCCACTGTTACAGTGCTCAACCCCACACTGGAGACAGCCACGCACAGCACCCTGGCCAGCTCGGTTCCCAGCACCCGGCCCTCTGCCAGCCCGGCCCCTCCATACAATCAGTGGGGAGATCCTTGATGGGTTGCTTGGCTCCTGGTCGTTCTTTGCCTGCAGTGGAATCAGCCTCTGCAGCAGATACTCCATGATCGTCTCGTAGCCTTTCGGGAAGGATGCCAGGATCTCCCAGGGATGGTGTATCTCTCTGCAAAGTCAGAAGCCACCAACATGGTTCCCCCCAGGTGGCCCTCTCTCCCTGGGTTTCACCACACCTCCAGGGGAAGGGCTCCAGGCTCTTGGCCCCGTCCTCCTTCTTCCTTCTTCCTAGTCTCTCCCTTCATTATCTTTCATTCCTTTCACCACCTCCAGACTTCCCCATTCCTTGTCATCTTCACACAGGTAAATCTGAAATTGTCCCCTTTGGCGTAGGAACCTGATGTAGGACCACATCTGAGACCAAGTTTATCAGCTCTACTTGAATGCCTCTGGCCCTGTCCAAGCTCCCCTCACAGCCCCAGACCAGAACACCACCTCGTCTGCCAGACTGCCCCTCCAGTCTGTAATGCCCAGTGTGACACCCAGGGTCACTCTGCATGCAGGCCAGATCTGATGACTTCCCTTCATATCACCCTTCCAGCCTCCCGCGCCCTCTTTCCTCTGTGTGTCACACATGTTTTTCCCTCTACCTGGCATATCTCTCTACATCTAGATCTGACAAGAACGCATGCAGAACAGAAGTCCATGCCTGAAAATTATTTTCTACAAAGAATATAATAAAATTTTAAATCAAGCTGTGTAATGTCTGCAAGATGGTATCGCCTTTTGAAATAGGAGAAAGCAACAGGGAAATGAAGGAGAGATAAGAGACAAAGACAAGGAGACCTCACTACTGGTAACATGGCACCCCGGGTGCTCTAGGGACCAAGACAAAGAAAAAAATGGTCTTCAACAAAATAATGGCAGTCGGACTGCCAACAACTTCTTAACAGCAACCATGGAAAGCAGAAGACAAGAGGTTGAACCTTCCAAGAACTGAACAAAGATCAATGTCAACTTACAAGTTTCCCAGCAAATCTATCATTAAGGCAGATTTGCTTCATTTATGAATCAATAAAAATAGAAAGATTGATCAATAGATTCTCACTAGAGGATAAACTCCTAAAAGACAGGTTTCAAGAGAGAAGAAAAACAATTTCATAAGGAAAAGTTTGTGATGCAAGAAGGGATGGTACACAAATAAAATGGTAAATACGCCTTTAAGTCTATATACAATGTTAGTGTAAGAATTATGCTGTTAATGGTAGCAAAAACTGGCTGCATGATGGTGCACACCTGAACTTCCAGTTTCAAGGGAGGCCAAGGCAAGAGGATCACACGTTCAAGGCCAGCCTGGGCAACTTAGCAAGACTCTGTCTCAAAGTAAAATTTAAAAAGGGCTAGGGGGCAGAACCTAGTGGTCAAGTGCTTGCCTAGCATGTACAAGGCCCCGAATTCAACCCCTAGTGTCACAAAATAAATAAATGAATAATAGAAAATAACTAGAAAAAGCCATCGACAAGAGAATGGATAAGATAAAGTATAAAAACCCAGCACAGGAGCTGCAGTTGTGGCTCAGTGGTAATATGCTTGCCTAGCATGGGTGAGGCACTGGGTGCGATTCTCAGCACTGCACACAAATAAATAAAATAAACATCCATCAACAACTAATAAATAAATAAATAGAATACAAAATTAAAAAACAAAAACAAAAAAAAAACCCAGTACAGTAGCCTGCACCTCTAATCCCAGCAACTCAGGAGGCTGAGGCAAGTAGATCACAAGTATGAGGCCAGCCTGGGCAACTTAGTGAGACTCTTGTCTCTGAATTTTAAAAAAGGCTGGGAATGTAGCTTAGTTACAGCACCCAGGAGTTCAATCCCAAGTACCACAATTAATTAATTAATTAATTAATCACACAATTAAATATTTTTAAATAATTTAAATGGTTGATTTCTCTACCTCTAACAGTGAGCTGAATGAACAGTGAACTGACCTAGCAACATAATATTAAGAAACTGACAGATCAGCCAGGCACGATGGTACACACCTATAATCCCAGCAGCTCAAGAGGCTAAGACAGGAGAATTGCAAGTTCAAAGACAGCCTCAGCAATTTGGCGAGGTCCTAAGCAACTCAGTGAGACTCTGTCTCTAAATAAAATACAAAAAAAGGGCTGGAGATGTAGCTCTTCTTGAGTGCTCCAGGGTTCCATCCCCAGTACCAAAAAAAAAAAAAAAAAAGAATTTGACAGATCAGATAAACAAAATAAATTCAGATATGGACGAGTTACTAACACATTTAATAAGCCTGATATAATAGATAACTTTGTGTGTAATAGAAAATACAAGTTTTATTTCAAATACCCATTAAATATACATTGAAATTAATAACCATAATCTTCCTAATCTATGTACACTCTTTCTCAGACACACATCTCAATACATTCCAAAAAACGAGAAGACTTTAAGATCATGTTCTTTAATTTTCATTCAAAAAAAAAAAAACTAGAAAAGATGATCATATTTTAAGTTTTTTTTTTTAAAGAGAGAGTGAGAGAGGAGAGAGAGAGAGAGAGAATTTTTAATATTTATTTTTTAGTTCTCGGCGGACACAACATCTTTGTTGGTATGTGGTGCTGAGGATCGAACCCGGGCCGCACGCAT